CCCCAAAACCCCAAAACCCCAAAACCCCAAAACCCCTTGGGACGTTGGATGTCCTAAGGTTAAATATTTTAACAACCCTTTGGGAATATGTCTGCCAAAAGAAGTACACTTGGTGCATCACTGGGCCAAAAGTCTCATAATGTTAGAAAAGTCAGTATTGACCACTTTGACCTGAGACATTGACAGAATAATCAAGAGAATTGTTACTTGAAGCCCTCAGTTGAGAGCGAGCTAGTTACAAGAATGAAAAAGAGGCTGAAATCTATCGAAAACAAACTCAAGATTGTACAAAACCATAAATTTCACGATCAGAAAGACCCTAAACCTCTTACAGACAAAGATCTGAATATCACAATTGAAGGTGATGGGATTCAAAACTTATCCTCCATTAAAGGCGACACAACGACCATCCCTGTGAACTACAGAGAGTACCTGAATCAAAGAGTTGAACAGAAAAATGGTCACCTTCTGCATGATTCAAAGTCGGAAACGCTTGATCTCTCGTCACTTAACGAGAGGGAGAAGGGCTCTAACTGTCCAAATAACATCTTTTTCCAGAGCTGTACCGATAATACTGGTCTAACTGAATCAAACATCGAGCCTTGTAATCTCCAACTTCAATAGTCTAGCCCACAAATTTTAACGGATCTGGTATAGGCCCCGTCACTCAGAGACCCCAGAAACAGCTACCAAAACCGGAAATAAGCCTTGCTGAACATTTTAACAGCTTTGAGCCGGATTTGAACCTCAAACATAGCAAAAGAAGTCTGAAAAAGAAGCTGAAACCGTCTAATTTTGAGTATCTGTCAAGACTAAAGAAATAAGTTCATCAAACCAACGAGGAATACTCCCCTAAAGATAGACACAAAGCAGTCAAAGGTAAAGAAAGCAACAGCAAGTAGCTCTATGTGGCAGGCTAAGCTCACTAGTCTAAAATCGAGAGAAGCCAAGCTTGTTCGGAAAATGAAAACCTCCCAAAGAGTTCATAGTATAAATAATCTCAAGCAACTCAGGTCAGATGGAAGAAGGTCTGCATCAAAAGTAGGTATACTCTGGCATTTGAGACTTCAAACCAACACTAACAGTTGGAAATCCCAGAGCCTCAATTTATGAAATAATATCTCGATATTTTGTAGCTCTAACTCAGCTTTAATCCATTTGGGTTATTATTGGTATAGGAGCATGAAAACTATAAGAAAAGCATTCACCATCAAGCATTCAAATAGCTGTTTAAAGAAATTGGAGATTCAAAATAGACCAAATTCAACCTGTAAACCTCGCAAAAATTCTATTCAAAAACTAGGAAACTCCTCCCATTGCAATAAACCCTCAAAAACTCATAGAAGGTACCTCTCCATCCTCAAACCCCTTCTAGAAAAGCTTCAGCTCCTTATCTTGCTAAACTCCATCCATCCTTCATTCTGACAGCCAAAATCAACCTTCAAGATACAGAAGAAACCCCAAGACTAGGAATAGATCAGTAAAATTGCTCTTAATCCAATAGGGATGATTTCAATCAAAAGTACCTCAGTCCAAATATGCTCTAAAAAGACACCGTCTCTGCCACCTCAACAGCCAAATCTCTTAATCTATAGTCAACAGTTTCAACATTTCCCCACTTCTAAGGGGTTTTGGGGTTTTGGGGTTTTGGGGTTTTGGGG